CTGCTAAAATGGTATAGGGATAATTAATCCTTTTGGTCCCTTTTCAGTAGTTTGCACACTGCCAATATGCCACTCCCTGACTAACTGAAGTATAAATACTAACCACAAGCAGACTGTCCATGTCAGAATACTTTACTTGCTACCCTGAGAACACTTTGTTCATTGTTGTAAGGGAAATTAAGTACGTGGGCTGAGCTTCCTATACCTGCATCCTGCAGTTCACCTACCAATGCAGTCTACTGAAACACGCTAGAGCAGCGATGGGGAAACCTTTAGAACTTTCAATGATACAAAGAGCTCACTGTGGCACTCGTACCAGCCACAGGTTTGGCACTACTGCTCTAGAGTCTTTAGCACACATTTCTCTCAAAACTGAGGATTTCACATCTGAGTATCATAAAATATAAATTTTTCATTACTATGATAGCCATGGTAAAAGTTGATGTATAAACTTAAAATCTCCAACTGTAATGCAGTTTAATTATAAATTTTAATGATTAGAAGATGGCTTTTCAATTTTATACTTCCTTTCCTCTTCAAATCCACTTAAGATACTATGTGCCTAAAGGACATTATTAAGTTATATTAGCAGTTCCATAACTTAAATCCATCTTACCTATCATTTCCCCCTGAAATCAAAACTGCTTCCCATTAAAAATAAACTTCAAAAAGCAGACCTTCCCAAGCTTCTTCCAAACTGGTGATGGCTGCTTGCAGGTGATTCTGACTGACTGCTTCAAGAGACAGGCCCAGGCGAGAGGACTCGGGGACGGGTGGCAGCAGCTGAGCCTTGCTGGAGTGGCCTAACAAGCAGACAGTTGCCACAGTTTGAAATTCTGCTGGACACTTGCTGCTGCCTAGGATCATTGCTGGTCAACATTTTCAGACCCAGTTAATCTTAAACTGGGCACCCTGGGGAGGATTTATTACTAAAAGGAAGATGGGCTCCTAACTGCATCAATTCAAAGCATGACAAGAACTTATTCTTGGCTAGGCAGGTGTAAGATGCCCATGTAGATGAACATGGGAAGAGGAGGCAGGAAGTATGTTTGAAACCAACACTTATCAGGAAGAAAAGTTAGTAGGGAGATAAATGAAACGGATTAGTCTTAAATCTCTTTACGATATTAAAATCATGTAGTGGGCCAGAACATACCCCAAGGGCTGTACCATTCATTACCTGAGCAACAGTTCCCAGCAAGAATGAAACAAGCAAATGGCATTTGAGATGTTATCGGTAAAAAATTTCCAGGATTAGTTACTCATATGTATCATGCATTTATCCAAGCTTTAGGGAAAATAATCCACTTACCAATTGCTGTTAAAATAAATAAAAGTGTGGAGACACCCGATGTCCCGTAAAACATGGTGCTGATACTATAAGTCAGGAGATCTGTATTATTCTGTGTGTTGGGGACTAAAACAGGTGGTAGCAAAAAGCCAACTGCAGTTCCAAGCTGTAAAATAAACAGTCCTGTTAACAGCTATTATCATTAGAGGAAAAAAGTAAATACTGGCACTTAGTAGAACATAAGGAGGACAAACTAGTGTTAAAACTATGTTTAAATGTCTCTGTTACTAGTGTATTGCTAAAAGGAATCTGCTGACAAATCCCTTTCCTATCCAACAAACACTGAGATCTACTATCTGAATGATTCTGTAAGACATAGCCTTGTTCTTCAGATGCTTACGATCAAAAAGAGGAGAAAGAGTATATTAACTAGGGCTGAGAAAAGAATGAGAAAAAAATACTAGCAAATGAGGGACTAGCATCCAGAATCAGGAACTCTTTCAACACCAAAAAGACAAAAACCCCAATTTAAAAATGGTTGAAGAATTTGAAGAGATCTTTTTCCAAAGAAGACACAAAAATGGCCAATGAATACTGTTGCATGAATAACAAAATTAGTCATCAGGGAAATGCAAATTGAAATGACAAGGCGATTCTACCTCCCACCCACTAGGAGGGTTATAATAACAATAGCAACAACAGAAAATAACAAGTATCGGAAGAACACGAAGAAGCTAGAAACCACGTTCACTGCTGATAGGTTTGTAAAATGGGGGGCAGCCACTGTGGACAAGTCTGGCAATTCCTCAGAAAGTTTTAACACATAGTTACCATATGACCTAGCAATTCCACAACTAGGTTTATATCTAAAAAACTGAAAACAGGTATTCAAATAAATATACACAAATGTTCACAGCAGCCCTATTCACAATATCCAAATGTGACAATATGGCAAATGTTTATCAGCGGATAAATGGATAAACAAAATGTGGCACATACAGTTATACATAAAAAAGTACTGAAGTACTGATACTGAAGTACTAGTACAACATGAACTTCAACAACATGGAAAGTGAGGGCCGAGGATTTAGCTCAGTGGTTTCACCGCCTGCTGTGCAAGTGCAAGGGTTCCCCGTACCAAAAAAAAAACATGGAAAGCGAAAGAAGCCAGGCATGAGCAGGTCATAGATTGTATAGTTCCACTTATACAAAATATTCAGAGAAAATATAGGTAAATCCATATAGAGAAAGCAGATTAGTGATTACCAGCGACAGATGGAGGAGGGAAGATGGAAGTGTTTTGGAACCCCACAGAGAGGATGGTTGCACAACACTGTGAATGCACTAAATGCCAGTGAAGTGAACACTTTAAAATTGTTAATTTCATGTTATGTGAATTTTATCTCAACTAAGAAGATAAGGCTGACTATGATAATCACAACATGAGAAATAAATCAAAATAATAAGAAAGTTCAGGGGTGGGAAATATGATTTTTGTGGGACATGGAAGTGAGCAGGAAGGGCCAAGGAAAGATTCTAAGGAAGCTGAGGTAGAAATAATACCATTTACCAAACATCTTATTTGTTCCTTTCCCCGCAAAAAGCTGGATAGAGACAAACGGGCAATTACAATCCTGTGACAGAGAAGTAGAGAGTTCAAGACTAGGCGATCATGTACTTAATCATCCAAACTGGAACACTGGAGAGAATGGGACTCCCAGGGTAGCTATGACAGACGACGGACGTACCCCGGGACCAACCCAAGTAGACCAGGACACAGGACCTTCTATCTCAGAGGACTGTGCAGACATACCTCCTACAGATCTGAGGCTCAAGAAAAACTTCTAGGCGGGCATCTAAGTCATTTTCTGATTGCTGAGACACAGCACCCAACAGCCATAAATTAAAAGAGAAGTTTATTGGGCTCAGAGTCTTAGAGGTCTCAGTCTATAGCTGGCTGGAGCTAAGGCAGGAAGGGCTTGGTGGAAGGGACTAGGTCCTCCAGGGAGGGCTAAGACCTCAGGGAGTCAGTACAGAGGATGAAAACTCATGAGGACTGTGGCTGGAGATGCATCTGTTAAAGGCTAGGCCTCAAGGTAAGGAGAGAAGGACCAGGCCTACATACCTCCCCAGGGGATAAGATCATTGGCAACTTCTGCTCCAATAAAATCTAGACAGACATCGTCACCCCAGTGGGTGACCAAGACCCCCGATCCATCCCTTCCTAGAGAAGGTCTTTGTCCCTTCCAATGCACACTTGCTACGTGACCGGCTTCCCCACTGGCTCATTACCTAAGCAGCTATACTTATAATCATATTGGTTGATCATAGTTTTGACCCATGTTGCATCCACCTCGTGATTTTGCTCTATTTATCTTCCTCTATAAAGTGAGGTCTGAAACAACCCACTTTCAGGTCCCCTCCTGTCTCTCAGGAGCTATCTCTCTTAATAAAATTTTCCTACTATTAATCTCCATTGTTTCTTAGAATTCATTCTTCGATTTTAGAAAACACAAACTCAGCATATCCAACATCTAACAGGTTGAGAGTTATATTTATCAAGAGTAAAAAGGGGCCGGGGATTTAGCTCAGTGGTTCCACCACTTGCCTTGCAAGCACAAGGACCCAAGTTTGATCCCCAGTACCAAAAAAAAAAAAAAAAGAGTAAAGAGTTTACATTTTAAATACTATGGGAAACCACTGGCAAGGCCAATGCAAGGCAGGGACATGATGTGATGTGTTTTAAAAGGTTCTTTCTGCTCAGACACCTACAGTATAGATATGAGGTTAAAAGGTAGATTTCAGAAACCAGACTTGAGTGTGAATGTCATCACTACTAGCTATGTGACCTTCAGAAAATACTTTGATCCCTTCAAGCTTCTGTTGTCCTATCTACCAAATGGGACTAATAGTTCATAGGTTAGAGTATTAAAGTAACGACAATGCACACAAAACACTCAGCATATTCCCAGGCTCTTAGCGCTCAGTAGAGCTCAACACTATTCTGAATGACCCTCTATAAACTAGGCTCAGAATATATACTTGGAGCTAGGTATGGAGGTGCATGCCTTATTAATCCTAGCACCCTGGGAGGCTAAAGCAGGAGTTCAAGCTCAGCCTGGGGAACTTAGGGAGACCTTTCTCAAAATAAAAAGGGCTGGATATGCAGCTAATGTGAAGGCCTTGGGTTCAATCACCGGTACTCCCCCCCAAAAAAAGCATACTTGGGAGTAGTGAGCAACTGCACAATTCTTAAAGGGAAGGAAAGGGTGAGAAAACCTAAAGAGAATGCAGAAAGAGGACCCAGAAGTGTGCTGTTGTACGGAAGTCTGCCTATACAGTGTGGTACACATTTCCACTTATCATCTGTAGAGCCAATAATCCATAAATAATGCAGCTGATGATATTTCTGTCACACTCCATGAAGTACTAATCTTGATTGCAGAAGCAACCAACTAAAGATTCAGTCATAAATTATTTGGGATGCACAGCAACTATGGTTCAAGCTACCCTTTTTTCTGTATTTGAGAAAGATAGTAAAGCAATGAGCATGTAATCTTTTAATGTATTTTAAATAAATCTTACTGTGATCTTCCAACTTTTTTTTTTTTTTGGTACTGTGGATCGAACTCGGGTCCTTGTGCTTGTGCAGCAGGCGGCGAAACCACTGAGCTAAATACCCAGCCCAATCTTCCTGTGATCTTGAAACAAGTGTGAGAGGGGAAGTAAGAAAGTGACGTTCTTTTGTTACATAGCTACATGTCGCAGCATTATATGTAGTGTGGTGAAGTGTTGGTGCTTACATTTTTGGGCTGAGGGTGTGGCTCAGCGGCAAAGCATTTGCCTAGCAACGCTTGAAGGCCTCGAATGATACCCCAGCACTGCCTAAAAATAAAAAATAAAGCATTTTAAAATGCTACTGTTCAGCAATTTAAATCTATTAAGTTTAAGGGTAAAGTGGTGTGGAGATTTTTAACTGGTGTCCCCTCTAGTTGAATGAACACCCAATATAATTTACAAAAAGTGTCACAGGACCTCATGTGCAGAATTTAAATTACAGTAAGAGAATCAGTCTGCAAAGAAGCACAGGCAAAAAACATTCTATCTAGTAGTGCTTCTGCAACGCGAAGGGCACTGGAATCCTGGTGTTGGGAAAGACTAGGTCACTTTTAGGAGACTTGGCAGATTCAGCCACCCTTGTGCAACACACTCCATGACCACTGATTGTTGTGCATTGTCCTACTGACAAAACTCAGTAACTGGACCCACTAATGCTTCGAAGTCTGTATCACTGGAACGTTTATTTAATGCTCCTTTACACATGTCCACTATGTGCAGGCTCTGCAATGACTGCTAACATATAAAAATATAAAACTAAATAGGGGCTGTTCACAATGACCACTCAACATGGCAACAAACTTCCCAGAATCCAATATACCTTCCTTTTGGAAACCACACTCTGGGGACAATAATTCCTGTGCAAGTCTGGCTCATTATTACACTGACAGGTTTTCTCTGACATTTGTACACACAGGCCAATCCAGTTAACTATTTTACAGATAATTTTCAAAGCAACACGACAGGGTGGTCACTTTAGACTACTTTTGAAAGTTCCATCCTTACAAAGAAATCAAAAGCCACCTTTAAGACTGCCTCTTGCAGATGTGGTGGTGCATGCCTACAACCCCAGCACTCTGGAGGGGCTGAGACAAGAGGATGACTGGAGTTCCAGGACAGCCTGGGGTAGGTAATAAGTTCAAGGTCAGCCTGGACTACAGTGAGACCCTGTCTTTAAAAAAAAACAAACCCCTAGGGCCAGGGATTTAGCTCAGTGGTTCCGCTGCCTGCCTAGAAGGCACAAGGACCCGAGTTCGATCGCCGGTACCAAAAACAAAACAAAACAAAACAAAAAACCAACAAAAAAACCCCCTTACAACTACTCAGCCTCTCTTCCGGTAGATGCCTCCGGGGACCCATTCATATGCTTAGCTCACAGGGCCTACGGCTCTTTTGGGTCCTGTAAGCATCCTACTTCCCCTCATGCCCCAGTCCTTACCTGATTGCCCAGCACGGCGGTGGCACAGGCTGTGGACACCTCCCTGGGCCCAAACCACACCGAGGCGATGCGGGAGGGAAGGCCAAGGATAAAGACCTGGGCCACGGAGCACAGGCACTGGCCGAGCATGGTGACCCAGAAGAGGTGCTGCCGCACGCTGCCGCACTTGACCCAGGCGCCCAGGCAGTTGAGGCCGGAGCCCAGCAGGGCGGTGAGGCGCAGGCCCCGGGTGTCCAGCAGCCAGGTGGCCGGGAAGATAAGCGGCACGTAGGCCAGCATGTACACCATGGACAGCCAGTCGATGTGCAGCAGCGACACGCCGTAGAAGCCCTCGAACACATTGCTGATGATGCTGTACTGGATCCACTGGAAGGCGTTCACCAGCGAGTAGAGGCTGAAGAGGAGCAGCA